GCACAGACTGTGCATCCCGGCTGGACCACTGTTGGGTCTGCTGGTGGAGCGGGCCCAGCAGTGGCGTGCGTGTGTGACGTCAGATTGGGTGTTGAAGACCAACCTGCCCAGAGTCACAGGCGCAAGGGAACAAAGCTTGCATATTGTAAAACAAAGGAGCTGTCCAAATACTACCTCCAGAAGAGAGACAGAGTGGTTTCTATTTTAGGTACTTTTTGGTCCCCCAGAAAGTTAGTGGCCTGCATCCCATATTAGACCTGCACGCATTGAACAGACACTTGAGGCAGTTCAAGTTCAGGATGCTGGCGTAAACTGCTCTGCTACGGTTGGTGCACTGAGGCGACTGGTTCATGTCCATGGACCTGAAAGATGCGTACTTTCACAACCCTATTTACCCCCTGCACAGAAAATATCTACGATTTGCCTTTCAAGACATACCATACGAGTATGTGGTCCTCCCATTTTGCCTTTCGCTAAACCCGAGGGGTATGTAAAATGCACCAAGGGGGCGAGTGCGCCCCTGAGGGACGGGGGAATGCACTTGGCAACATACATAGATGATGCTTCTGACAGATCAGTCTCAGCAACAAACCCTGGCTAATGCCAGACTGCTCATTTCACATCTAGCCACATTGGGTTTCACGATGAACTGGGAGAAGAATGTTCTGATTCCCAATCAGAGAATCAAGTTCATCGGTCTGTCTCTGGACAGAGCGCATTTGTCAGTGGAGAGGGTGGAGGCCTTTCAGGCCTGTTTAGCACTTTTTCGAAGGGGGCGAAGCTGAAGTTCAGGACGTGTCTCTGACTTCTCTGTCTGATGGGGTTGGCCCTGGCGATGGTTCTGTTCGGCTGCCTTCACATAAGACCATTTCTGAGGTGGGTCGTGTCTCTCAAGCAGAATCCTTCGCGCCACGGGCACCATCAGGTCTCAGTTTCCATGGCGGCCATCCTGGCCATGCGACCTTGGAGGCACAAGACTTGTCTGTTGGTAGGGGTTGCCATGGGAACCATTCTGGCCAGGAAAGTCTACGAACACTTCCCGATCAGGCTGGGGAGCCACTTACGAAAGGCAGGATTATGAATGTCACATTGAGCTCTCAAATGCGGTTACTTCACATAAACTGCTTGGAGCTTCAGGCTGTGTCACTGGCCATGAAATATGTCTTGCATCTGCTAAGAGGACAGCATGTTCTGGTCAGCACCAACAATACCACGGTCATGGCATATATCAACAGACAGGGCGAGCTGCGTTCTTGCATCGTCTGCACTTGCTGGCACACAGACTGATAACGTGGAGCAGCTCCCACCTGTTGTCGCTGAGAGCCCCTCACTTGCTGGGCATATTGAATCTGGGAGTGGACTTGCTCTCCAGGAGCGACTCCCTCTACAAGGATTTAAAGCTTCACAAGGAGGTGGTTCCGTGGATTTGGAAGAGATACGGCGAAGTGAGAGTGGATCTCTTTGCGTCAGAGGAGAATGCTCAGTGTCCCCTGTTCTACTCCCTCTCCAACCGGAGCGCTCTGATGGGGCTGGATGGATTGTCACACGAGTGGCCTCATGTCCTCATTTCCTCTTGTCACTTTTCCCTCGTTAGAGCCGATGGCTTCTACTCTTGCCAGAGTGCGGGAGAGGCATCTGACTCTAATCCTGATAGCAACCCGCTGGCAGGGGCCACACTGGCTGGCGGAGATATTTCCACTCCTGTGCGGCCACCCTTTGGCATCTACCTCTGTGCAGGGACCTCCTAACGCAGGCGCGCGGAGAGATTTTTTCATTCTTATCCCCATGGCCTGGCCTGTGGAAGTTGCATCTGGCCATTGCTTGGCCCCCGCTAAACGTCATTGCCACTATTCAGTGTGTGAGAGCAGCATCTATGTGCTATTAACTCTACACTCGTCCTTTTTCATCAAAGGACCACCGCTCAGGCGCACTTTGCCCGGTGCGCGCACTACACGCCTATGTGGACAAGAAAGCTGGGTTTAGAAAATCAGAACAGCGGTTTGTTTCCTGGGAAGCGCCGCACTTGGGAAAGCCTCTCATGAAGCAGAGGCTGTCACGCTGGATTGTGGAGACTATTGCCTCGGTCTATGAGAGCAAGGGTCTCCAACCTCCCTCAGGGCTGCATGCTCATTCTACTCGTGGGACGGCCGCGTCATGGGCACTGTTCCAAGGCGTTCCTATTGGGAAGATATGTGAGGCTGTTAGCTGGTCTACACCTCAAGCGTTCTCCAGGTTTTACAGTTTAGATGTTATAGCACCTACACTTGATTTACAGAGTTCTGCACGTGGGTTCTGCGACAGGTATAGAGCTACCTATGTGACTGTGGTTATCTTGTGATAACAGGTCCTTGAAGTATGCTTGTCTGGCAATACGGGAGTCTCTATATCCCATAGTGATATACCAAATGGAATGTTGAAAATAACTTTAGGTCTCTGAAACATGAGTGAGGTATCTCACCAGGGTGGTCTGGTGAGATCCTTGCCTGGAGCGAGGATGACGTGTGTTTTTCCTCAGACTCTGGCCTTATAGGGGAGGAAGCCACTCCTCAGGACTGTATTAGTGAAAATAGCTTCTGGGGCTAAGCACAGTGGGCATTTTCCTCACTCATGTTTCAGAGAACCGGGGTTATTTTCTTAACCTAAGCCTATCAGAGGCGTGTGACAGTTTTTCATTTTATCCTGCATGCATCCAACCGACACATTTTTTCTCCACACATTGCCGGTGCACTGTCTTTAGTTAATCCCACCAACTTTTTCCAGGGCAATCGAGTTTTACTTACTGACTTCTCCACCGTTTCATAAATATCCAATCCCGTTGTGGTCCCATGTGTTACACGTGGAAGAAGAAGGGGTCTTCACTGTGCAGCATTACTAGCATAACTTTTATTGATTTTCTATGAAAACGTGAATAACAACATCAGTTCACTTTTGCTACATCTCATCTGCGATCACGCTGTCTGACATCTTACTCGCTTCACAACTGCATGCCGTGGATACGTTGAATAAAGCAAATCATATAAGACATGCCGGTCCTGACACATTAAACTATGGTCGTGTTCACCAAACATCAGTTAAATTAACTCTTTTTAACATCCATATCTATCATTTTTAACCACAAACAATCATAAACAAACGAGAAGACTAGTAACAGTCTAGTACTGAGCCCATGAACTGACTCACTGTACGCTAACATCACGCTACCACGAGTTGAACAACTGCCTGTTAGCTCCGGTTATACCCTAAACCAGGGGTGGGCAATACATTTTTGAAAGGGGCCACACAAGAAAACTGACTTGTGTTGGAGGGCTGAACGAAAGTTACTACCGTAACTACGGTTCTATGAATCCCGGATGACCGCCAGAGGCGGTGCTTCAAGCACTGAATGATCATTCTTGCGCATGCGCAGGTCGAGTACTAATGACAACAACGTCACCTGTGACCTGCCGGGGACCCACGTGACTCTATATAGTCACGTGGCACCCGGCAATCAATCCTTCAAACTTCTCGCGAAGCAGAGATTCCGAGGGACCAAGCACTCTGGCGGTCATCCGGGATTCATAGAACCGTAGTTACGGTAGTAACTTTCGTTCTATTTCATCCCTACTGACCGCCAGAGGCGGTGCTTCAAGCACTGGATGACTCATATCAACAAGGTCATGAGGAATCAGCAACAAGGAACAGCGACTACACCACCCACCTAATGTGATGTAGAGGCATGCTGCTCCAAAATTCCTTGAAGCGGATGGGGCGCAGCCACATTCACCCTGTAGAACCGAGTAAAGGTACTAGGTGATTTCCAGGAGGCCGCACGGCATATAACATCCAATGGCACCCCAGTCATGGCAGCAAACGACGTCGACATGCCCCTTGTAGAGTGGCACTTCACTCCTGCCGGCAGTGGCCGGTCCTGCGAGGCATAAGCCTTGGAGATCACATCCACCACCCAGTGCGCAAGTCGCTGCTTGGAAAGTGCCTGACCTTTCCGTGAGCCAGCGTAGCAAACAAAAAGACTATTTGTCTTTCGGAAGGATGCCGTGGCATTGATATATGTCTCAAGGGCACGAACAGGACACAGTGGTTCAGAGGGGCTTCCGGTGTCAAGCCGAGCAAGATGGAGCGGCTGGGTACTGCCAGCCGCCGGTGATACCTTAGGAATAAATGCTATGTCAGACCACAGTGTAACCCCTGAGCCATCAGGATTCCACCGGCAGCAGGGCTCGGCTATCGAGAGAGCCTGTAATTCCCCCACACGTTTCGCAGAAACCATAGCTAAAAGGAACGCCGTCTTCAGCGAGAGCCATTTGAGGTCTGCCGATGCCAGGGGCTCAAATGGGAGGGACCGAAGAGCCTCAAGCACAAGAGAAAGGTCCCATGCCGGTGCCACAGGGCGGTTGGGTGGGTGCAAACGCCGAGCACCCCTTAAAAACAGGACAACATCTTTGTCTCGGCCCACAGAAAAACCATTCAGCCCAACATGCCAACAGGAAATGGCAGCCACATACACCTTTAAGGTAGATGGAGACCGTCCTTGATCCAGCAATGCCTGCAGGAAGGCCAGTATGTCAGAAACTGAACACTGCACCGGGTCCTGCCCTCTATCACGGCACCAGGTCGCGAAGACCGTCCACTTGTTAGCATAGACAGCTCGCGTGGACGGGGCCCATGCATTAGCCATCGTATGCCCTATGGACCCA